CTGTATATTAAAAAAACACCTAAAAATGTCCCCTTATTTGAGGGTATAGTCCAAAGAAACCATGTTTTAATTTCCACTTGTTCTGAGTTTACTGTTTTTTATTTTATATTAGCTACACAACATTCCCTACAGTCTGAGATTATTCATTATTATAGAAAACATTTTTATCTTCTCTTGTCGCGCAGATGGCAAACTAAGTGAAGACTGGGTCATAATGAATTTAACCCTTTAAAGCCCGATCCAAGAATAAAACAAAACAGAAAATTACTTTTTTTTGGTTTGAATTCCTTATTTGGCCTTTTAACAAAATATGTAAAAAGAAAAAACAAATACATTTTTGATATTAATAATTTATTACTATGCGATAATTCAAGATTATTTTTTGTGTAGTCTTCTACCCTCTGTTATCAGGTATATCTGATTGTGTACAATAGGATTTTGAGCAAAGTTTTTACCATTAAATTATGCAAAAGGTGTCAGACGCAAAACATTTCAGAAACCGTATGTGTCAAATACGATACATTTGGCATTACAGGGTTAAGAACGGAAATGGAGAAATTTAATAATCTAGAAAGGTTTCAATGCCAGTTAACTGCAATGAGAGCCATTACCCATGCATCTGAAGGACGTAAAATGGTGATGTGCAAATTGAATACATTTATTGCCCACCCTCATGGGGGTGGCAAATATCTTATTTAATCACATATTATTCAGACTGTCATATTGTTTATGAACACATGCCCTACTGGCTGTGTGTTGGAACAACAAAAAGCTAAAATCCTGGTCAAACACACAACTCTGCACATACATTAAATAAATTCACAACTTGCGTTCAAATAATGAGTTTATTAACAAAAATCATTCAGCTCCAAGTCAAATATATGTCAGTTAAAAACTCTAAACCAAAAACTAGTGAAACTCAACTACTATGTACAAAGAGGAAGGGAAAACATGGTTAAAAGCAATATTACAGTTTAAGATGGATTTTATATTCTAGGACCAAAGTTTATCTTGAAGAATTTGGGATATGGTCAAATTAGCTTTTCACTCATTTAGAGCAATTTGAATTTTTTTCAAACCAATTGACAATGCAAATCCATGAAACATTTGGTCAAATAATATTTTATTCAATGATTTGCTTAATCAGGAACCAGTAACCTTTAGTTAAATGATTCTTTACCCTCTTTGAAATAGCTAGCAGCGAATAGACCAGAGGATTCCATTAAATGACTTTGGTCATAAATTAGTAAGTGAAATGTAATGAGCAAATGAGAAAACACATGAATACTTTTATCAGTGTTTAGCATACAGTAGGAGCAGTTTAAATTATACAGTAAACAAACATTCTCATAGGACAGCCAACCTCCATTTCAATTTAGAAAATGTCTTATAGACCAAATGCTCTTTTCCATCCAGCGATCCAAACACAGCGACTTATTTCTATGTAGCACATATCCATTATTCAAGATAGGAGTTTTGGTGGGGAGTATATTTGTGCGTGTACATAGGTTTCCATAATAACAACACTTGTTTGTGAATGGAAGCTAGGTTCATGGGGAGTTTATCTACTCTAGCTTTTACTTGAGAAAGGCTTCAAATAAACTTTGTGTTCTAACAGCACAGGAGACCTCACAGTGCACCTCTGCAGCCAGCAGAACATCTCAACGAGTTTAGCGAGTTAACGAGTTTTAAAATAAACATTGACGCTGTTCCTTCGTCAGTGTTTGGAATACAGCTTGAATCCTAAAGATGCCTCTGCTCTAGAGAAGAAACTACTGTTATTTGTGAAATTCTCTAAAGCAGTTGTTGTTCTTGTTGAGGCACAGATGCACATTACACTTGGAGCATGTGTAGGTGCTCTGGCCTTTACATTTGGACCGCTTGCAGCGTCGCCGCTCACTTACAACCAGTGGCCAGTGACCCACAGCATCTGAACGGACTTCCAGCGTCGGCAGAGCCTTATTTGGACCTCGATATTTCTTTTTCTGGATTTCAACATCAGATGAAGGCGGCTCCCTCTTAATGTTGGAAATTTCCTCGTACTGCATGCAGAGTGCCTGTGCTATCGATGTCCTAAAAGCAAGCAGATCCTTCTGCTCCTTCCTGGGAACATCCAGCGAATCACAGTCCCGCTGATACAGCAGCCAGCTGTTTACAATAACTATATCGATAAAGTAGAAAAAGAACCTATGGTAGTACTTTTTGGACCTAAACTGGATGCGGTTAGATGCAATAAGCTCTCTGAGAGCATAGAAGCCGCCTAAGAACTTATGGTGCAGGCTAATGATGCTTGGGCATGTCACAAAAACATTGTGTTTCAAGTTTTTGTCCCATCTCCTGACTCTGGAAACAGAACGGGCGCCGGGGAAGTTGCTGGCAATGATCACGGCTCTACTGTCGAACCATTTGACTGCTCTTATCTCCACGTTGTCAATGGCGACCCGTCTCTCTTCAAACGTCCCTCTTCCCTGTTTCTTCATATCTGTGTCGCTGCTGAAACGGCACCCCTGGAGTTGGTTTTCCTGCATGGTCCCAAGCGCCGGTACCCCCTTATTCCCAAGTGCAGCAAACAAATCCAAGGAGGAAAACCAGTGGTCGAAATACAGCAGGTGATCCACAGGGGAGTGGACGGCTTTTGCGAGCCTTAAGACGATATTTCCATTTGCCCCGATGTCAGGATCCCCAGGTTCTGGATCCGTTTTCCCTGTGTATATATGAAACGCATGAACCAGGCCTTTTGTGTCGCAAAGTACAAAAATTTTATAGCCCCATTTATGTAGCTTCTTTGGCATGTATTGCTTTAGAATAGATCTGCCTTTGAAAGGGACAATCTGTTCACCGATAAACAGCATTTGGTCTTGAGGGAGAGCCTGAAATTTTTGGAGAAGAGAATCAGCAACAGGTCGGATTTTAAAAAGCTTGTCCTTGCTGGCTGCCATGTGGTTGTTGTCATTGAAGTGGAGGAATTTTGAAATTTCTTCAAAGCGGTCTCGAGACAACACATCAGCCACCTGCGGTACCCGACACTCAGTGGCCCAGTACATTCTTAACCTCGGCAAGCGTACCACACTCATATAAATGACACTCCCAATAAACTGCTCCAGCTCACTCTGATCCAATCTCAGAGCACAGTTTGGATTTTCTTGTGCACAATAGAGATTACTTTGTTGAGCGATGGTTTCCAAAAGCCCGGCGTCAAAAAAGTCCCGGAAGTATTGGACGGGTTCTCTGGTTTCATCGGCGTCAGGGAGGGTGCCTTGCCAAACCGGGAATTGTTTTGTGAAGTTCTGCTTCTGCGCACCGTCCCACGCTACCTCTTCCCATCTCCTCGAAGCGGCGGCCGATTGCCGCCTCGTAGTGGGAGCCCCGGTGCTGGCGGCTGTGTCATCATTCAAGTCAGAGTCTTCATCAGTGCTGCTGTCGTCACTTGGAGTCGCTCTGCTGTCATCGTCGCTGTCACGGTCACTGAGGCAGCTGTCGTCACTGTCGATGGGCGGGACTCCGCAGAAGGGTGAGGCGTCCATCTGAAAACAGAGGGCGGGAAATTCCTTTGTAACTCTGCACTGTAACCCAACCAAATCTTCTCTCATCAGGGATTAAACAATCCTTTAGCACATTTAGATAAAGCCCTGTTTTTCTCTGATTTATGTATGAAAGAATAATGAGTAAGATTAACAAACAGAAATGAAGATCTGTTGATAATGTGATGGATTTGTGAGGTTAAATTGATCAAAAACATTTCAGTTAATCACAGACCAACCCATAGGTGGTATTTAGGAGTGTTCCGCTGCTGGAAGGATAAGACTTTAATTAGAGAAGTCAAACATTTGAAAATATTAAAGGAAAATTCTAAGATATAAGCTAAGAGTCAATTCGGTCTGAGGGGGATTGATTTAAAATCTTATCAGGATATTTTGTGGTACTATATTTATAACAATAAATGTGAGCATAAAAAAAAATAATAATTTGGTTTGGCGGTGACTACATGCCACAGCTATAACAGCCCCACAATCACAATTACCATTCTTGAAAGTATATTTACCTCCGCCAAGGCGGTTATGCTTTATTTGTCCTGCTGCAGCAGAGTACTGTCTTAATAAAAGGCAGTAAAGAACATTGACTCGCTCTCACATCCAGTGAGCGCTGCACTCACAGAGTAACAGCTGTAAATTGGCTGAAGTAAGAAGGTTTGCCTCATTGCTTAAAAACTAGTTACCAGGATATTCTTGAATCAATTTATTTATCAGGATGTAGAGTTCATAAATAAGAAAATATAATTAATAACTTTCATTCATGTTTTAACTCTCTGTATGATAACATCCCGCATTGTGTTAATTTATACCTGTTCCCAAACCTGTGAAATATTATAGATTTTTTCTACCTGTAACTGTATGTTTTATATGGGTACCCGCCGATACCTGACCAGGTGCAGGACTCTGACCCTCGGCTTTTATCCAGGTCCACCTTGGGTGTGACCAGCCAATACTTGGTGATATTGTTACCACGGAAACTGGTAAAACCTCTCCAAATCTCATATTGTAATAATAACTCGCCTCAACAGATCCTACAGATATTCTTAAAATTTTAGCACCTGGGTTGGAAATTTCACAACTTTGTATTTCTTTAATCAAAGCTAATCCTTTACTGATTTTGAAGCCTTTATTTTGAAAATTTAGATACTTTAAAATGAAGGCCCTCAACATCTTCAGCTTTCTGACACACTGATCTTAGATCTTTTCAAGACTGTGGTTGGGGAGCCTTTATTTTAGAGGTAAAATCCCATCCTTTTGCCACTAAATTCATTTTAAGTATGTTGACCTTTTGGTGATGTGCAATGTTGATTTCTGGCAAACATGTAATATTATAAAAGGATATTTAATTCTATTTTGATTGGATCACGCCAGAACTTTATTTTCCTTTTTAGTAAATACATCAGAGAGAAGTTTGATTTTCCCAGGTTTATTTACACTTTTTAGTACCGCCTGTACCTTAAAGCAAGGTATAATGCACCGATATCCGAGTTTCTATGTTTTACATAAATAGTACACATTTTCAGCCGTTACGGCCTATTGTAGCGAAAGCGCGACAAACCAAAATCAGTGAATATGTTCGTGAATCTACGTCATCCTTCGTCCATTTCAACACAACAGCAGTGAAAACATCCCATGAGCTAATAAACATATACATTTATTGAACAACTACTTACCACGAAAGATAATTTTTGCAGTTAAATCGCATGTAGTCTCCAGACTTAATACTTCCGCCTTCACTGGCCGGAAGTACTTAACCCATCGACCAATAGAATTAGATTAAATCCTCCCCAAGCGTATGTCAATGTCGCCGCCATATTTTGAGTGGCAGTTTCTTTGAGATGCGGGCGCTACGACAAAGTCTGTTATCTACTTTCCCAAAATCCAGGGGCGTAGGTTTGATTTTAACTTTGATAGGGGCACTATTGGTCTGATGTCATTGGTCCTATGCAAAAATATGCACGCTCGTTTCTTTATGCTTGACGGGAAAATCAGGGTGTATTTCATTTAAAGAGAAAAGCAGCAATTCTTGCTACATTTATACAAAGTTTATAAGCACTACATACACTAGGTGCTGTTTATCAATGAATGAAACTTAACTGGCTCTGATGAATGAGGAATTAGGACTTTTTTCCTCTTTGAAAAGGTTTGCATTTGAAATTACCAGCGACTAAGACAGTAGGTAAATCTGTGCCTATTTAACAGAATGTAGTCTAAATATGTCTGTTATATGTGGATTTATACTTTTTTTTTTATTTTGAAGATATAGAATTGTGCATAGGTAAATAGAGGTAAAACTCACTCTTTTAAATGTTCTCTTTGTATCGTGAAACAAAGCGAAATAAAAGATTCAAGGGACACCAAATAAATGCATTGTATTTACATGTGCCCTGGGACTAGAAGAGGAACTGACACTGAGCACTTAATATATTAACCTCACTCTACAAGTTGTAAATCTAGGATGTAGTTACTCTATTTAACCCATTTCATGTATTTTATTTAGGGCTGACACAATTCACCTTATTAATCAATTATTGAAATATTGTCAAAAAATGTAGTAATCAATTAATCGTTAATTGGAGTATAGAGACTCTAAAACATGTCTTTAGCTCACAGAGTGACCCACTTAGAGCAGAAATTATACAAAAATTGTAAAAAAATAAATAAAGAAAGAATATTTTTTATTTTAGACAAAACATGTTTTCATCTGTCAATATTCTCCATCCAGAACTCCTCTACTGCTGCAACAACGCTGTTTTGTAAATTATAAACATATTATTCAATTGTTGGTAGGGACGCGTAGGTCGGTCCAAAATTTCGGTAGGGACATGTCCCTATAGTCCCTATGCAAACCTACACCCATGCCAAAATCACAGGATTAATACCAAAACCTAATGTCACAAAATTAATGCCCAAATTTAATATCACAAAAAGAATAGCTAAACTTAAAGAAGGCTATGGTGGAATACGTGTAGTGCCTCCTTGCATAATAATAAATGATGAGTCACAAGTTTTTTTGTAACACATCTGAAAAAGATGTGTTACGAAAAAACTTACTTTCTTCTATCTGACCAGATGTTGGTACGGAAAAGCAGTAGTCAAGAAAAAGTACCACGGTACGTATTTTTATCAAGTAAAAGTAAAATCGATCTATTTAGAATAATAGGATTGGAGTAAAACAGTAATTAAAATACAACTCAAGCACTAAGTGATGATAACATTCGATTAAATGTTAAAAAAAAATAATATATTAGACAGATAAAAGATACGTCTCTGTTCAAAATCTGGTATTTTAAAAGAATAAAGTAATAAAACAAAGCATTTTTTTTTATTCAACAAACACTGCGACTGATACTTCCAGCAGTAACATTACCTTTTGTGACAACTGCTAATTGATTCACCTGACCTCAGCAGATAGAAATTAACATTACAGTTTGTATAGAAACAGTCATCTTTATTTTTTCATAAACTACAAACTATCTCTCTGGTGTATTTTTGTTTAAAATATATATATATTATATAATATATATATTATAGCTTGTTCTACATTCACAGAAAGTATTCACTATGGGTCCAGATATCAAAATATAATCTGTTTCTCTGACAAACCTAAAAGTAGCAGTTCTTTGGAAAGCCCTGTGTGTGTTAAATACACATAGAAGCCATACAAGTGTCTTTATGTGAATCTGCCTATATTTGGCAAGGTTGCTTAAGAGACCCTTTAAATAACAAATAAGTAATAGTGTACCACTTATGCAATGATCTTCCTCATTAACTAAAATACAGTCTTTGCGTATTTTAAATTTCTACTTTTATTTATACATTTTTTTCATAAAGTGGGCCATAGCCTTGGACACCACTTCTTGTTTTTAATTGTGTTTACAATTAAACACATGTTTAAGGCTTCCATGTTTTACTGATGCAAATAAGCTCCTTTTTTTCCCAGCAGTTTGTTTTCTTTTGAACCGAGGCCTGGTGTATCTAAAACTGATCTTATTTAACAACTAATTTGGCTTTTTGTCAAGAAAACAACAACAGCAACAAAAAAATGAGGTAAGTAACATGCTACTGTTACTTTTTACAGATTGAAACTTTTAAAATGTATTTTTTCTAATGGTAAAGTCTTCATGCATCTTCTGCTGTTTTTTTGTTTTTGTTTTTTAATTTGCAGAAAAAGTCATGCAGAGCAAGACAGCCATCAGAAATCAGGCTGTAAACTGACCCTTCCTGCTCTGTATGACGATAAAAGACTCTTGCTCCAAAGGCAACAGTTTAAGAGGGACAAAATGCTGAACTGGGATGAACTCTACTTAACCCTACAGGGAGTTGATATTTCTAAGGTAACAATTATCTGTTCAGACAGACTACATAATTGTGGGCGTTTTAAAGGATAATATGAATTGAAATGCTGTCATTCCACTGAACTATTGGGGAATTATAACACTTCTTGCATCTGTTCTTTATTTTGTTTGAGTTTTTCTGATTTCAGGTTGTTTTTTTTTCCTGATACAGGTTAATGGGGCCTATAGCAACACCATGGGGCACCTCAAATCTCGTCACATGGAGATTAGCTATTGGCAGGCCCTTATTAAAGAGAGCATCCATCTGGTGGACAGTGAAATTGCCTATGTGGAGCAGGTACCTGTGTTTGCAGTGAAACCATCAGAACACAAAGTGAACTCTCTTGTGAGGTTGTCGATTGTGCCCTCAGATGAAAGAGATGGTAGAGCACTGCCTCCATGAGAGGAAGGTGTACAGTCAGCTCATGGGTCGCTGTGTGGCTCTCAGCAGATGCTTGGGCTCAGCCAGTCTGAACCATGACCAGGTCTTTGTCCAGCTGAAGAAAGAGGAGTGTCTGGCCATGGAAAACAGGGAGGTGCTGAAGAAGCAGGCTGTTATCATCCTCAACAAACTAAGGTGAGATATTTGAAGATGAAGTTTGAATTAATTGGACTGACACGAAAAGAAAATAAACAATGACTTCTGTCTCCCTGCTGCAGCTCTCTGAGGAAAATCCGGTATAGGCTAAAAAAAGATTTCCAAGACAAGCTCGAAGCCTTAAAAGTCACCACCAGATGCATCACATTTGAGATGACAACCCAATGCTCTGGCTTGACTGCTGGCCCACTCAAACCAACCCATGTGAGCTATGAGCAGTGGCTGTCTCAGTGTCAACACCTGAAGATGAGGGCTGATAAACTTGTGATGGACTCAACAAATTGCAGAGAAAAGCTGCAGTTCCTTTTGCTCAATGTAAGACTGCACTGGATCTGTAGTTGCTGATAAGAGCACCACATTACTGCCAGGAAGCTTCCTAAAAAAGTCTTGCTTTTGAAGTTGGGAAAAAAAAGCTTCTGCAGTTCTGGCTAAACCTATTTTAGTGCTGGATATCCAAAAAGTATGTTTTCTCCCTGCTTTTTTTCTTTCATAGTCATATCTGGTATTTGTTTCCGCTCTTCATTCTGTCAAAGTTTTCAGCACATTGTTGTTGAGTAGAGCTGAAGGTGTGGAATCTTAAGGCTATCCTCTTCTCTCCTCCTCTCTTTTTTTATCCATTTTAGCAAAACGAGCCCACAGCATGATGATGCAATCACCTTACTTGACACTTGGAGTTCTTGATTCTTTTAACTGTACCTCATGTCACTGAGTCCAGGGATTTCCTTTTTTTTTCTCCTCTAAAAAAAATTGTTAAAAAGGCCCTGTCATTGTGGGAAGCTGCTTTTTCAGACAGTTTTTAGTCAAGTGTGAAGGCACGCACCCCCTCAGTCCATACTAATGTACTGGTGCTCCAGTGAGTGAACCAAAAAGTACTTTGAAATAACCTGTGGCTATCCTTCTTTTGATATCTCCAGCTGAACGGTTCCAGTGAGCACCAGCACTGCAGGACCGGCGAATCACTCAGGAGGATGATCCATGACCTGACTGTGATCGGTGATAGACTGAATATGGAGAAACATCGGGTCAGTGTGCTGAACATTTTCACACAATCTCACACCATCTGACATTTTTTTGTACAATCATTGATTTTTCTGCAACCTCCAGATCAAGCTTGAGATTTCAGAACTGACCAAAGATGTTCAAAGATTGGACAGTCATATTAAGAGCTTATTTACCCCCTCCATTGCCACCCCAAACAGGCAGAACCTTGACGTAGCACACCAACGTCTGACCTTTGTGGAGGACAAACTGGCTAGAAATGCTCAACTCATTGAGGTAGCTCAGAGGTGCCGGAACATCCACCAGAGCTTCAGGCAGGCTGTCAACTCAGCTGTGGTTCTGAGTAACAAACCCAGCCTTCAGGCAGTCAAGGACAGCTCCGGCACTTAGGCTGCCCTGCACTAGATGCATCTTTTACAACTTCAGAGCTGCCAATAAAATGCATATCAGTGTCAAATCGTTTTCTTTTACTGTCCATCTCTCATGTTTTGTTTCAGGAAGGTTTAATTTGAAAGCCTGCTTTTGCCACTCAT